TTCTAAACACTTCTTGACCTACTGCGAACGTTACTTCGCTGGACCGTAAATTGTATCGCTGCTCGTTCAGCTTGTGACTTCGTTGCATTTGCTTTCCAGCGCTCTGGCGTACTATTTCAAAGGAATCTTGCTTTTCGAACAACATCGATCGATCCTCTAGCATGTTCAATTTTCTTAATAACGAATATGTCGAACCACTCGTAATCATGTGTTGACCGAAAGCTAAATAATACGGAGTCGTTCCTACGCTGGCATGTCTCGCCGATCTTAACGCACACGCTATTCTGTTTAAGCACTCGTCCCAGTCTTTCTGGTCGGGTCGTATGTAAGCCCGGATACCAGCAATCACGGAACGGTTTACCCGTTCGGAGGCGTTCGCCTGAGGTGAATGGACTGCCGTCAGGGTGTGCGTTACTTTGAACTGAGTCAAGAGTTTTCGGAACGTTTCAGATCGAAACTGCGATCCATTATCGGACACGATAGTTTCGGGTACACCAAATGTCATGAACAACTCTTCATCGAGGTACTTGACCACCACATCTGCGCTAATTTTCTTCACCGGTTTCAGAAATACGTATTTTGAGAAATGATCGAGCACAATAAAAATGCCAATATTCCCGCTTCTGGACCGGGGATAGGGCCCCAAAAAATCAACGAATAGCCTTTGGAAAAACCGGTGGGTTTCTGGTGCTTTCCCCAACGGAGGTCGGAGAATGCGATTCGGAGCCTTAGTCATTTTACACACGTCACAGGAGTTGATATACGCCTTGACATCCGAAACCAAACCTGGCCAAAAGTAGTGACGCCTTATGCGTTCGATCGTTTTGTGGATTCCTCCATGAGCAGCTAGCGATCTATCATGAGCTCGAACTAGGATATCCGGAACCAAACTCTTTGGCACCCAGAGCTTCCAAGCATACTCGTCGTGGATTTGCTCTCCAGACAGGTGCTCTGCACGACGGAATACGAAGACGCCGTCAGTTTTCAAATCAGGCAGCTTATCCCTATTGGTTTCTACTCGACTAACTAACTCGGTGTACTCGGGTGACTTGAATTCGGCCGATTCCAGATCAACCAGCGATCCTTCGGGTGATTCCAAAGCAGCCACCATCTCTTCATTAACCCGCGACAAGGCATCAGGAACCACGTTCTGAGTACCTTTACGATGCTCAATTTTGAATCGGTATCTTTGCAATCCCAGTGCCCATCGAGCTAGCCGAGAACTGAGGTCGGTATTAGATATGAGCCATTTTAAGGACGCGTGATCCGTTATCACGGTGAATTCGTGCCCTTCTACGTACGCTCTGAAATTCTTCAGTGATACTATGGCGGCTAAACATTCTTGCTCCGTTACTGTATAATTTCGTTGAGCTTTGTTTAGCTTTTTTGAGACATAAGCGATCGGACATTCGTCCCCTTCTTCAGACAGCTGCACCAGAACTCCCCCTACTCCTGTTTTGCTAGCATCACAGTGGATGTAAAACGGTTTCGTGAAATCAGGGCTCCTTAATACCGGGGCTTCGCAAAGGCACCGCTTCAATTCATTGAAGGCTTCTATGGCTTCCTTTGGAAACACAAACTTCCTTTTGGTTGTCATGACGTCGGTCAAGGGCGAGGCGAGTGACGCAAAATTTGGTACGAACTTGCGATACCACCCACACATTCCTATGAAGCTTCTCAGTCCCCTCAGGTTTTTCGGAACTGGGAACTCGGCAATAGCCTTTATCTTGTCGGGATCGGTTCGGACTCCTCCGTCTCCTATTATGTGCCCCAAATACTTTACACGGCGCATGCAGAAATGGCTTTTACTGATGTTGATCGTTAATTTCCCACGCCTGAGTTGCTTAGCCATCTCTAATAGTACTTCTAGATGTCGTTCGAAATTTGAAGAAACTATCAACAGATCATCTAAGTAGATGAACACTTCGTTTCGAAGGTTACAAGGAACTATTTTGTCCATTAATCGTGACATGGTACTGGTGGCGTTGCACAGCCCGAAAGGCATCGTCTTGAATTGGTAAAGGGGACGCCCAGGGACTGTAAAGGCCGTCTTATCCCGGGACTTTACATCCAACGGTACTTGCCAGTACGCATCCTTCAAATCAAGACTGGAGATGAATTCTGCTTTCGGCAAACGGCTCAGGATCCCGTTAATCTGAGGCAAGGGATAAGCATCCTTTTCCGTGAAACTGTTTACTTTCCGACAATCCAAACAGATGCGGATTTTTCCCGGCTTGGAGACCAACACTATTGGCGAGGACCAAGCGCTGTCTGACTCCTCTATTACTCCCAATTGGATCATCCGGTCTATTTCCGAGTACATTGCCTTTTCTACAGCTGGCGAAACAGGGAAATGTCTTTGTTTCACTGGCCTAGCGTTCCCCACGTCGATAACATGTGTTATCAAGTCGGTTTTTCCTAAACCTTCTTGAGCAAATGAGGGATAACACTTCAGAACATTGGATAACTGATCCTTTTGTTTCGGCGTCAGCACGTGCTGTTCAACCCCGCTTGTCTCTTGGGTCAACATCTCTATTTCGGACACTCGCAACTGACTGGGCAACAGGTCATACAGCTCCCAAAAGTCAATTCCTAGGTATAGATCATGTTTGAGCGAAGGAATTAAGTATAAATCAAGAGACTTCTTCTCGTCTCCATATTCCACGTCCACTCTCATAATTCCCACTATCTCTTGAGCCTTACCATCCGCCGTTTTGGCTTTATCATTGATACGTTTGTATGGTGCATCGGCAAGAACTAATTCCTTAGCCAACTCGCCTCCAACACAACTGATAGAGGCTCCGGAGTCTAACAAGCCATAGACGGTTCGATTGAACAAACGGATTGGTAAGAACGGACGAGGGTCCCTCTTTATGTCGGAGAGAGCGCTCAGATACTTAATTCCTGACCGGCATTTCTTTACATTTTGCCAAAACCGAGTCATTCGCTTCCCTTTACGCGATCTTTTAGCCCCTTTCCCTATATAAAACTCATTTCCGGTATTTGAATCGTCCAATCTAGTTGTGTCTGTGCAATTCAACAGTGAGCTGTCGTTGCTTTTTTGTAGGTCTGGGTAAGTCGTGGTCACTACTGGTAGTGGAAGTGCATCTAATCGGTATTGGTGCCTTGATGGCGTAGCACACACGAAGTCTTCTGTTTGAACGGCAACTTCGGCGTGCTGAGCTTGGAGTTTTTTGAACATTTCTCGCAACTGGGCTTGTATGTATTAGAAGCACCACAGCCATATTTCTTATTTTCTTTTCGAGAGCTTAGGATTGGGCGCGCCCACTAGAACCAAACGAAAGTCGCAGGATTTTACTCACGCAGTTAGGTTTCTCCATCGGCGAAAGATCGATCTTCCGGCGACTGCTGAAATAGAACGTTATCCTTTTTCTTTCGTTTACATTAGTGCTTTCGAGACCTTTGATTTCCCTCAGGCGGGGTTAGTTCTAAATCCAATAAATTTCTGTTTTGTTTCGGGTGCTTTTTAGATTTCTTACAATTTCCCCTAATTCTTTCCAATATTTCATATAAATTCTTAAGTCGAACGGGTACAACTAATATTTACAGCTAAATCTTAGGAACTTCGTTTGTTTGTTCAAAGGACGGATTCTAGAGTCTTATTCATGGGTTCGAGTCTCTGTCGGATTCGACGGAATGGCCTAACTAATACTTAAAGCTAAATCTTAGGAACTTCATTTGTTTGTTCAAAGGAACGATTCTAGAGTCTTGTTCATTGGTTCGAGTCTCTGGCGGATTCGACCGGATGGCCTGCAGCTCAATTACTTTTCTAACTGGGTTTGGCGAATCGCATCGGACTGCCGGCCAAGGAGAGGATAGGCGGAACTGAAATCAGGTGTCCGAAAAGCATATTTACTAATTTTAATTCTGCTGGGCTGCTCTCGGGCCGTAACTTTCTTTAACACCGGCTTTACTGCGCCATTTTTGAAACACGGACCGAGATCTGGATTCTACATCGAAGAAACTCTATTAATACAGGGGTCTGTTGAAGCGGGAACGGTAGATTGTATTTTCTTTGAAAGTCTTTAGAACATTAACCGTTGCAGGGCTCGAATGCGCCTGGTTTTGCCAGCACAAACTCCTCGCCGGGCGACATGGGCGCCGGTTGGGGACGGGGAGCGGCCGACGGAACGAGAATATCAGCCCACGAGCAGTGGACGCGGTCTCGGTTACGGATCGCTTGTTGATGCGGCACGTGGAATCTACGGAGCCTCTCGGCGGATCCGGGAAAACGATGAACCAGTATGCTGACGCCTGCGATTTCCAGGCGGGTCGAAGTACTCCACTTTGCTGGTCACTTTTTGGTGCCGCAAACGTGGGGTGCCTTACGGCGCCTTAGCACGGGTCGCGCTAGGCTGGGGCGCGTAAGGCGGCGTCTTCCCGAGGAGCTGGTCCACAATTTCCGCAGGAAATCTTTTGCTGCGAAAAATACGAGTTACCTCTATTAGATATTCGCCCGGAGAACGGGGATCGACATTTATCTTACCGCAGTGGCAGCGGTATCCGTGGATGTACACAGTTTAATCCAGCCTCTGGCGGTTCTCTGGGTTAGAACGCCCACAGAAGAGGTTGCTCCCGCAGAAAACGGCTACACTTATAAACCTTCCGGCACTGTACACCCTTTCGACTTTATTTAGTGGAATTAGGCGCGGATGGCAAACTTTTCACTGATTGGGAAAAAACACGACTCGTCGGCTTGATTATCGCACAGGAAAAGATCGAAGCCGGAAACCTGCTCTGGCCACTTGACATTTGCATGCACTTTTGCATGGGGAGGTTACGCCCTCTAGGTTGTCAAATTGGAGCAACCCTGACCTCGGCTGATTTCGATAATGGTCAATCTTGCGGTCAGCTGCCCAGGCAGCTGATCGGCAGGCACCTCCCAACACTTACAAAGTCGATTCATGCCCCCTACAAGATGAAAGTACTTTGAGTGAGATTTCGGCTACTACTACTATCAGTGCAGCCATGGGCATATCATGTGTGAGGACTGCAAGACCGCCGTTCTGGCTGTTGCCATCTTCAATAAAATGCGTGCCTGCTGCCCCAGTTGTCGATCGCTCATTAGAAACTACTATCAGGAGCAGAGTCTAGTGGTGCGCCAGACCCTCTGGGAGCTACCCATGAGCTGCCCCAGCTGCAATGACCAGTTCTCAGATAGGAAAGATCTCTCCAGACACTTGGAATTCGTTTGTGAGGGGCGTGTGGTTTGCTGCAAGTACCACTGCCTGGGCTGTTCTTGGAAGGGCCCCTAGAAGGACAGCGTCTCACATGATTCCGACTGTGGGTTTCCCCAGAAGCGGGGAAAGGAGATCCTAGATTTTCTGCTGCATGTCGAGGACAGGGAGCTTGAGGCCCAAAAGCCCGTGTTGCAGCTCAATCGGGTGCTGAGTGCTAGCCGGTTGGAATTTTTCACCTTGAGAATGAAGTGGATACACCGCTCAGAGGGTTTACAACCACGGACCCTCGAGTCTGAGGTAAGGTTTTGGAGAAGCAGAACTCGTCTGCAGCATACCTCTGATGATCTCTTATCCCGATCCCCACAGACGATTCGTGCCTTTGAGGAGGATTGGGTGCTGCGTCTACGTCTGAAAAGAGCTGGGGAAAAAATCACCGTCAGCGGCCAGCTATTGCTTTCGACTACCCCACGAGTGTCCCTCATGGTTGACCATTTGATCCAGATGCCGCAGAGTGTCTGCAGCGCCAAGCAGCTGCACGACATACGCCCGCGTATCTACCGCCATATTTTCGATTCAACCGGCAAGTGCGCAAACCGCCAGGAGCTTCCCTTGGCGGGACCTCAGGCCCTGTACCGGCTATTTGCCATGACCCGGATCCAGCTCCGTTTGTGGATGTTTTTGCATTATTGAGCTGACGCTAAAAACCTTTAAATTGTAGTTTAAACCTTTATTGGGCACATCTTTTGATTTGATTTTTAAATTCGTTGCTTTAGAGCTGCATTTTTAGGGTTTGGGCGCCTTCTGGATCTGCTCGTTCACAGCAAGACCTTCTTCAGCAGCAGCCTTGGCCTTATCATGGAAGTCGTGCAGAAGCAATCGAGTAAATTAGGCATACGTTTTTGTTTGGTCTGTTAAGGTCGGCTAGTGTCGGCCAGACTTAACGCTATCCTCGTTGAAAAAGTCCTTGACCTTTGCCAGCAGGTCGTTGAGCATATAAAATATACAGACATTGCCGGCTTAGTATGTTCCCCATATCATATGATATTAAATTAATTATTTTTATACCCGATACTCAAAATGAGAATTGAGGTATATTAGATTTGTGGTAAAAGTGGATGTGTGTAACGTCTAGAAGGAATCGTTTCCGACCCCATAAAGTATATATATTCTTGATCAGCATCAATAGCCGAGTCGATTGAGCCATGTCTGTCTGTCCGTCCGTCCGTCCGTCTGTCCGTCTGTCCGTCCCCTTCAGCGCCTAATGCTCAAAGACTATAAGAGCTAGAGCAACGATGTTTTGGATCCAGACTTCTGTGATATGTCACTGCTACAAAAATATTTCAAAACTTTGCCCCGCCCACTTCCGCTCCCACAAAGAGCGAAAATCTGTGGCATCCACAATTTTAAAGATACGAGAAAACCAAAAACGCAGAATCGTAGAGAATGACAATATCTTTTTGACTACGGAATCTGAATTGGATCGTATTGTTATTATAGCCAGCATCAAGAAAACAATTTCATTTTTTCTTTTTTCTCGCCCTGTCTCTCTCTAACACACACGTAGCATTGGCGGCTTTGCTTAGAGTAAAACATTAGCGCCTAGATCTCAGAGACTATAAAAGCTAGAGCAACCAAATTTGGTATCCACACTCCTAATATATCGGACCGAGACGAGTTTATTTCAAAATTTCGCCACACCCCCTTCCGCCCCCGCAAAGGATGCAAATCTGGGGATATTCACAAATCTCAGAGACTATTAAAGCTAGAGTAACCAAATTTAGTATCCGCACTCCTGTTAGATCTCACTATAAAACGTATATCTTAAAATTTCGCCCCACCCCCTTCCGCCCCCACAAAGGACGAAAATCTGTTGCATCCACAATATTGCAGATTTGAGAAAACTAAAAACGCAGAATCATAGATAATACCCATATCTATCAGATTGCTGAATCTGGATCAGATCAGATAATTTTTGTAGCCAAAAGGAACAAATCAATTTGCATTGGCTACGCAGCGCCCGACGTCACGCTCAGACTGATTTTCTGTCTCTCTCGCACGCACTCTTTGTCGTGTCGTTTAATATTAGCGGCGCTGCCGGAGGAGAGCCATACTGACTTAGTATCGGGTATAACTGTAGAGTTGCGGTGTCCGCAGCAACTCACAACGTTCCCCCTCGTTTTTCATTACATTCATCATTCATTACATGAAAAATATCATATCAGCTGGTATCTTTGCTTTTATTTCACATATACACGTAATATACCTATTTATATTAAATACATTTTTATATTTTCCATATTTATAATCGCATTATGCTTATGTTATAATGTTATTATATATGAGAAACATTCCCATATCCATATCCATATCCATATCCATATAAAATCTAATGTTCAAACATGAACATATTATCGTCAATACAATGCCACTTTCGCCCCCTTGCAGAATGTTTAAACATAAATAGATTATTGTACACATTCACTCATGTAACAACACCGATCTCTAAAGAAATCACATAAAGTAGACAAGTTATGACTGCACTGGGGTAAACAGAGATCTGTAACCCATTAATACGACAACAAAACACAAGTGGAGAAAACACTTAACAAATGCGGTCCTAAAATAAAACTGATGTAAGCATGTACTCAAATAGACACCCTCAGTAAAGTGTATCCTCTGCGTAGGTCTAACGATAATTATAGACTACCAAATTGCACCTCCTACCTCATTGTCAAATCACATATAAGGCTCTGATTATACCCGATACTCAAAATGAGTATTGGGGTATATTAGATTTGTGGTAAAAGTGTATGTGTGTAACGTCCAGAAGGAATCGTTTCCGACCCCATAAAGTATATATATTCTTGATCAGCATCAATAGCCGAGTCGATTGAGCCCTGTCTGTCTGTCCGTCCGTCCGTCTGTCCGTCTGTCCGTCCCCTTCAGCGCCTAATGCTCAAAGACTATAAGAGCCAGAGCAACGATGTTTTGGATCCAGACTTCTGTGATATGTCACTGCTACAAAAATATTTCAAAACTTTGCCCCGCCCACTTCCGCCCCCACAAAGGGCGAAAATCTGTGGCATCCACAATTTTAAAGATACGAGAAAACCAAAAACGCAGAATCGTAGAGAATGACCATATCTTTTAGACTGCGGAATCTGAATTGGATCGTATTATTATTATAGTCAGCATCAAGAAAACAATTTCATTTTTTCTCGCCCTGTCTCTCTCTAACACACACGTAGCATAGGCGGCTTTGCTTAGAGTAAAACATTAGCGCCTAGATCTCAGAGACTATAAAAGCTAGAGCAACCAAATTTGGTATCCACACTCCTAATATATCAGACCGAGACGAGTTTGTTTCAAAATTTCGCCACACCCCCTTCCGCCCCCGCAAAGGATGCAAATCTGGGGATATTCACAAATCTCAGAGAGTATTAAGGCTAGAGTAACCAAATTTAGTGTCCGTACTCCTGTTAGATCTCACTATAAAACGTATATCTCAAAATTTCGCCCCACCCCCTTCCGCCCACACAAAGGACGAAAATCTGTTGCATCCACAATATTGCAGATTTGAGAAAACTAAAAACGCAGAATCATAGATAATGACCATATCTATCAGATTACTGAATCTGGATCAGATCAGATCATTTTTATAGCCAAAAGGAACAAATCAATTTGCAGTGGCTACGCAGCGCCCGACGTCACGCTCAGACTGATTTTCTGTCTCTCTCGCACGCACTCTTTGTCGTGTCGTTTAATATTAGACGCCGCCTGCTGGAGGAGAGCCATACTGACTTAGTATCGGGTATAACCGTAGAGTTGCGGTCTCCGAAGCAACTCACAACGTTCCCCCTCGTTTTAAGAATAAAATTTAGTTTGAATTTACAACTCAACTCGCAAATGTCTAGACTTTTCTTTTAAGGTCTTAACATTTTGGTCCTTTGAGACTCTCCGTTGTTTCCCCCCTGTGGTAAGAGCACGGAGTTAAACCAGCTTCCTTGAGACTGAACAAGTGTCTAGTTCACTGACAGCGAAAGGTAGCAAAATTAAAAACTTTGATTTCCCTCCTATAGGAAGGAACAGAGTATAAAATAAATTAATGAAACGAAAGTTTAGATTAATAAATTGGAAAAATACGAGCTAAACTGTTGAAGAATGACCATCTCTAGCAATGCACGCATGTATTGACAGACATATGAGTATGTAGACGTATGTATGAGTGAGAGACGTTTCGAAGCGACGTTCTCTTATCTCCCTTTTGTTCTCTATTTCGATCGGTCTCTATCTGCCTGCGAGCAGAGCATTTTTTAGTCACAAATAAACCTTACATATGAATGGTTGCGTTTTTACTTTTCGGTACAAGAACTTCCCTTGCAACGGCAGCGAAATTCTGTCCAACAGGTTATGGGCACAGGTTCGGATTTTGTAAATTAAAAGTAAAGTGATTGTTTTAGTTACGAACTATTAACATCGGTGTGACTCAGAGACTAAACGATAATCAGCAATGAGCGGGATGTATCAAATAGACAAATTAGAGGAGGGAAATTATGACTCCTGGTGTATTCAAATGCGGTCTGTGTTGGTGCACGCTGAATTTTGGAGTGTGGCATCTGGTGACCTGCTACCAACGAATGTTCCCGAAGGTGAGAATTGGCAGGCCAAGGATGAAAAGGCGCTGGCCATGATCACATTGAGTGTGAAAACTTCACAGTTGGGATACATTAAAAAGTGCAGTAAGTCTTCCGAAGCATGGAACAAATTAAAGAGTGTTCATCAACCAAGTGGACCTGTACGAAAGGTTCAACTGTACAAGAAATTGCTAAGCAAGCGCATGGACCAAAGGCAAAGCATTTCAAGCTACATTAATGAGTTCGTGGATATTATTGATGGCCTTGGGTCAGTAGGAATCGAGCTAAATGATGAACTGCGCTCAATTGTTTTGTTGTCAAGCCTTCCAGAACAATTCGAAAATTTCGTTGTCGCCATAGAGACGCGCGACAGTCTGTCGACTTTCGATGTTCTATGCGTAAAACTGAAGGAAGAAGGCGAACGAAAGGGAAACACAGAAGATCAAAAGGAATACACAAAGGCATACATATACCGCAGTACATAAGCCGGCCGCGCACAGAGCGCAAAAGAAGAGAAACAATACAATGATATGTTTCAAGTGTGGTGAGCGCGGGCATATGAAGGCTCAGTGTAAGAAGGAGAGCGCAAATGTGGAAATTAAATGCGTTGGACGCAGATAATTTGAAAAAGAGTATGTGGTGTTTGGATAGTGGTGCCACATGCCACATGTGTTGTGAGAAACAGTTATTCACAAAGTTCGAGAAACACACAGAAATGATTGGTCTGGCTGACTCCGGTTTCCTAAAAGCTGAAGGAAAAGGGGAAGTAGAGCTGAAGACAGAGATATGCACGCTGCTGTTAAAGAATGTTCTCTATGTGCCCGAAATGAATGGAAATTATTTCTCGGTGAGCAGCGCTGTACAGAATAAATGTTTCGTCACTTTTGGACAAGAATATGCACGAGTTATCCAAAATGGCGAATGCATTGTAAAGGCGAACAGAGTTGGAAACTTGTATATGTTTCGAGGAAAACAAAACAACTGTTTTGCGGCGGTTAAGGCTGATGGTGCCCTGTTGCATAAACGGTACGGCCACTTGAACATCAGCAGTATGAA